TATGAGTCCAACTGAGTTGTATTATAGAATGTTCCACAATTTTGGTTTGTCTGATTGTTTGCACATAATTTGATTCAGGTTAACCATTCTTGGTAAGAATATTATGTAGGTAATGTGGACTCAGAGCACCACATGAGGACACACATCTATCAGTTTGTCCTGTGTTGGTGATGTGATAAGTGTGATCACTTGGGTAAAGTGGTATCTGTCAGATTTTTCAGATGCCACATTTCCTTTGTAAGTAATCTGTGAAGTGATGCTCTTGAGACTTCATGATTGTTTTTTTTCTTTTCCCCAGCAAGCTTTCTCATGAAAGTTAACATCTCTTGACCCTTTACAAAGTTCATTATTACATTGGTAGTTGCAAAATAGTGATTTTCTTGTTCTGTCATTTCTTCTACTTTAGCTGGCATGCTTTTATAAAAGAAAAGCTTTTCTTCCTAGCCTCATCCCCTTTCTTTAGTTGGATATGAACTCATAGATTATTTTACTATCCAGTGTGCTGTATTCCATTATTATCATTATTCATTTTGATGACCAAATTGTTCCACATGTGGCCAGTGAAAGTCTTTTCACACTGGTATGCCTGTCTTCCTGGTGCGTAACCATCGGTTTTTGAGCATTTCTTTGTCCTTTGTCACAACTAGATGTTTTAGCTCCACATTATACTTTTTCTGTCCCAGACCTGGAATCAGCAGTTTCTTGAAAGAGCTGAGGTTTCTTTTAGTGGGGAATGATATTTAGAAGCCACAATCTGTGCTATTGGATGTATTCTCTCTTCCAAGTGTCCTCTTTCTCCCTCAGAACTGGTACCTTTTCTGAGCTTGCTGTACCTGGTTCCACATATTTTTAAGCCTCTTCTTTCAGATTTCTTAATAAGCTGGACCTTTGAAATGCTGGATCTGAGATGTGTTTTCAGGATTTCCTACTCAAGGTGTGGTTTACTTTTTCTGGGAGTGATAATAGCTGTGCTCTAACACTCATAGATCCCCACTCTTTCTCTTCTCTTTTCCTCCTAGTTGCCACCTGACTTCTGCTCCAGCATAAGTTCTGGAGCTCGATCTTCTGGACATGGTGTTTCTTCCTCCTCTTACGTGTAAATTAAAGTTCTTAGTAATCTGTCTCTTATTATGCTTTAGATGTGGGATACAAATAGTTTTATTTGCTCTACTTGTTGATTTCTTTGATTTTTTTTGGAGGATGTGTGGTGTTATTAGAATTTAGGTGGCTACAGTTATTCTATAAGAACTGGAATTTCTAAATTTTAACTATTTTTATGACTTTCTAAGATGTGAAATGTCTTTCAGTTGAAATTTTAATTTAAATTGTGATTCTTGCTAATCAGTAAGTATACTTGGGTAAACCTTAAGTATATTTTAAAATATGTTATGCCATTCATCCCAACCCTGCATGGCCTCTAGCCAGTGTATTCTTTTTAGCCCTTGAGTTTCTTTGCTTTTTAATATTGTTTCTTTTTTCGCTTGCAGACCGACATCAGTCTTTTTCTCCCCATTGTCATTGTAATGCCTACTAAACCCTATCTATTTTATTATCTGCCATGAGTAGAGAACTGGGAATTTGGATAACATATTTTGTTATACTTGGGTTTGACATTAGAATAAATGGACCAAATGTAGCCCAAAGGCCTTTTGGAGCTTTATTTAGGGCCTAAATCCTCTTAGAATGTCTATTTGATTATTAAATAGACATTTTTGCCTTATTTCCAGTTCTTTCCGTTCTGTAGTTTAGACAGTTAAACTGGGTAAATACTCTTAAAAAAATGAGCACTTTACTTTAGGTTTTATGTAGTGATTTTGAAGGAGGCAGTACAATGTTAAGAGCAAAGTGGTTCTGGAATCAGATTCCTTGGGTTCAAACCCTGGTCCTACTGCTTATTGGCTGTATTACTGTGAATAGTTGCTTAACCTCTCTGCACTTCCATTTTCTCGCCTATAAAACGAAGACAATAGTATCTTCTCCGCAGGTTTTGTGAGGACTAGAAAGATGACACATGATAAGTATAGAACAGTGCCTTGGTCTTGAAAAACTGGTACAGTTGATATATTAATTAATAAGAAAGTATTGAATATTCACTGCACAAGGAGCAGTTAATAGGCTGTTAAATAAAGCAGGTCGTCATCTTTAGGATGATGTCACCTGCTCCCCACCTCCCCTCCATACTCGCATCCTGAAATTAAAATGTTTTAATGATAATTGATTAAACCTTTAAGCTTCCCATTGAGAAAGCATTAATAGTTATTTTGTAGCTTACTCATTAGTTAGAGGTTTGGTGGAATACTACTCAGCTATAAAAACTAATGAGATACTGCCATTTGCAACAACATGGATGGACCTTGAGAGAATAATATTGAGTGAAACGAGTCAGGCAGAGAAAAAGAAATTCCACATGTTCTCACTCATTGGTGGGAGCGAAAAAAAAAAAAAGAAAAAAGAAAAACAAACAAACTAATTCACCCACATACACACACACAAAAAACCTGGGGGTGGGTGGGGAAGAAGATATAACAACTATACTTCCATGAAATTGTTACAACAAGCAAACGGAAAGGACATTCTTGGCGGG